TGATGGTTTATTTTCCTGTGCATCTTTCTTTGGTTTGCTCACTCATATTGATCTTATGRGGGTGAACTTCCTAGTGAGAGAAATCTGGTGTAAACCGATCCTTCCAAAAGTACAAGCTTTCTGATGGGAAGTGTTCCTAAGGAAGGTAAACACTTGTGATGTGCTACAGAAAAGGAGGCCAAACAATTGTCTCTCTCCTCATGTATGTTTCCTTTGTTTGGGATGTGGTGAAACCCTAACCCACTTACTTTTATCTTGCTCTTTTGCTTCTAGTATTTGGAATGTTGTTTGTTCTCTCTTTGGATGCAGATGGGTTCCCCTATAGGATGTGGTAAGTCTATTCAGCCCCTCTTTCCTGTATCAACAAAAGAAAAGAGGAAAGTGCTTATGGAAGGCAGTAAGAGCAGCTATAGTATGGACTATATGGGAGGAAAGAAACCTAAGAATTTTTTCTGGAAAAAGTAAAACAAAGGAGGAAGTTATTGAAGCCATAAAAATCAGAATTGCACATTGGGTGAAGACCATGGAGATATTCAGAAACTACTCCACGAATGAGATCCTAAGAAATTGGGCTGAAGTAGCACAAATAGATGTACCCAAAGTACTTGTATGGAATGGAAGCTATCAGCACTGAACAAACTAAAACTGAACTTTGATGGGAGTTCTTTTGGCAACCCAGGAAGGGCAGGCATAGGGGGTGTGTATAGAAATCATCTGGGTGTGGTGGTGACACTCTACTCAAGACCAATAGGTTTTGGTGACTCAATACAGGCTGAATCTCCAGCCCTACATCAAGGTCTAAAATTGGCTGAGCAGATAGGAACAACAGACTTAGAAATAGGAGACTCACTATTGGTCATTTCTTGGGCAAAAAACATCACATACTTGGAAGCTCAAATTTATCTTCAGAGAAATTGACACACTTGCAAGGAAGTTCAACTCTCAGTTTGGTTGGGTCAAACGGGATGCAAATGGGATGACGGATACCCTAGCAAAACAAGGGGCAAATAGATATTCATTGTACTGGGCAGAATTGTAACTAATTGTTGGAGATTGCAGTTTAGATGTCCCTCTGCAATCTTTATCTATTGTAACCGAATTTCTCAGTTATTAATGAATTTTTTTTTTGCTGATAAAAAAAAAAGGTTGGGCTGAAGTTTGGGTTGGGGCTAGAGTTGAAAAATGTGAACTTGACTCATCTTCAGGTTGGGTTCCACCATTCTGCTCTGTGCAGTGTCATATCCATTGTTAAGTTATGGGCCCTTAAATCTTTTTGGTCTGCCTCTAGCTTTTCTAGACCCTTCAACTTGTAACAAGTCACTTCATCTCATTGGTTCTTTAGATGGTTGTCTCTGCATGTGATCAAATCATCATCTTTTATTGGTAATAATTAACTTCATTGATCATAAAAAGAGTGGATGTATCTTTACAAAATTAGAGGTATGCCAAGCACTGCAAGTGGTGGCTTATCCCCTTTTTTCAAATTCCCCCATGTTACAATCAAGATCTGAGGGAAATTAATCCCCAATACAGTTGGTTTCTATGCACCCCATGTCTGAGGGAAATCAAATTCCCCCATGTCTAGCTAATTCATTGGCTAGGTCATTAGGAGGTCTCTTCAACCATTTAAAATGTGTGCACATCTCCCCAGTCAGCTGTATATCAGTGTTGCATGGACATGGATATGGGAGTCAGAATTTAATGCATGTCCAATACACTGACTTGACAAAAGGAGAAAAAAAAATGAACTCATGGACATGTCTATGGAAAGTATATACTATTAACATATTTCATATTTTTGAATTCTAACATTATATACATACAAAAGTGTTGTATTTGTTATTAAGCGATGTTTGATGCAAAAAACTGGATTGATCTTATAGATTAGCTGTTTTATTAATATCAAATAAGCTAGGAAATAAAAAAGAAATGTTATGTAGAAGTGCCCTCAAGAACCTGTGGACTGTTGGACTTGGACATGTGTCTAACATGACATGTCATTCCATTTAGGAGAGTTCATGCAACACTGCTGTGTTGCCTCTCATAATGTATGTGTACATGGTGTACGTATTTCTAAAGCTAAGGGATTTGACCAGCCTTAATCCTTAAAGTACTGCATGACATTCAGCCCTTGTAGAGTGTTCTTACTCTATGGGTCCTGAAAAGTTTGTGAGTATGCATCCACTACTGTCTCTAAAAACTCCACCAATTCCTGATTGGCCAGGATTACGAATACGACAGCCATCATAATTCATCTTGATGTAGGTGCAGAACAATGTTTTAAAACATAGAGGTGTGATGCGAGGTGTTCCACTACCTAGAGGCGTGAGGCGTAGTTCAGAGCGTAGCATGAGCCTCCTTAAGAAGAGGGGGGATGAGGAAGAAAAAATCTCATTTTTCTTTCTTTTTCTCTTTTTTTTTCTTTTTTCTTTTTTTTTCTGTTTTTTTTACATGAGGTGTGCATGAGGCATATGCCTCTAGGACGCGTCATGAAAAAAAGCATAATGCCTCATAGGTGTCAATGCCTCTAGCATACACCTCAGTGTCACGGGGGTAGTTCTACAGCGTAAGAAACCCGTGCGGCGTCCGGGCCAAGGTAGGCTAGGACAAGCCTTTATGCGCTTAGAGGCTAGGAGTTGCCCGATGGGATGGCTCCACCAAAGTCAGTAGCACTGGATCATGACCTCAAGTCCAATGGTCGGGGCACTCTCCTGGCTCAGACCGGTCCATGGGAGGCGCCGCTTACGTGCTAAAGGGGGACAACCATAATGCAAGGCGACCATGCGCCGATGAGGTGACTTGGCACCGATGTGAAGGGACTCCTGTATGCCGATGATGACAGGCACCTGTGTGCCATGAAGATAGGCAACCGCTTGGGCCAGAACACACCTGTGCGCTAGGGGCAACGGGATAGCTCTATATCAGCTTGGGCAAGGGGCTGGCGAGGTGAAGGGWCATGCTTGAGCCAGGCCTGCCTGCCAAGCCTCCCTTGAATGTTGGCAGCGCAGTGCCGGTCCAACGCTGTCCCCATGAGCATGTGTGCGCCCATGAGGAACCCTGGTAGCCATGCTAGCCATTAACCAGGGCCGCTCCGCAAGGGGATGAAGGTCTGGGAGTGCCAAGGTTAGGCACCTAAGGAGGTCAACCACCCCTCCTCAAAGAGTACGTTAAGCTTTTGGTGGTCTGCCTAAAGATGACATCAGTTCTCCCAAAAATCTTACAGGCGAAAATGACGGTGGTGTCCGTAACAGGCTCCCCCACTCAATTCATTGTCGTCCTCGACAATGACTCCTTCCGTTAATGGGCGTTTGTGTCCCGCGCCATCCACTTCGTCTGCCAGTTCCAGGGTTCGTCTGGCTTGCCTGGGTCTTGCCTATGTTGGTGTCCATTTATGGGGACGGAACCATTTCACCATGCCGGCCTGCCTGGATTTCACCTCCCAGTGTTGAGGTTACTCAAACCGCTCAATGGCTATGCCGTTGAACTGTGAAAGAAGGGCCCTCGAAGAAATGTGTGGTGCTTCGCGGAGGTCCGCCCCATGTATCATCTTACCTCAAGGC